CGAATGGGGAAGTAAAGTACAAATTTGAGAATGTATTTAGTGATACATAGAGTAAGTGGCTGATGTGGTGGCTGATGTGTAGCCAGATGGCTTTTTTAATACAATGGTTACTTTTAATCTTAATGACAAGATGCATATTGGAAGTATATGTGGAAGAGGGAGAGTGTTGTTTCTCTTCAGATACAATATCAGAGAAAGTTTGTGACTGCTTATTACATACATATGGGTATACATGCAGTTGTTGCTATACCTGGATAGTGCTTCTCAAGCTGTGGTAAAGGACCATATCTCTCCCCACCCCCATCCCCCACTCCCTTGAAAAATACAGTGAAAATGAAGTAGGGGAAAAAATAAGGTACAAGCTTGTATTTTATATTTATTATTATTAGATTGAACAAATACAAAATTGCTCAGTCTAATTTCTGTAAAAATTTCTGTAAGAGTTAAGTTTGAAGATTGCCGCTGGTCCTTAGGCCATACTTTTGGTTTTTTGTTTGTTTGTTTGTTCGTTTGTTTTTAAGATAGTCTCTGTTGCCCAAGCTGGAGTGCAGTGGCGAGATCTTGACTCACTGTAGCCTCCGCCTCCCAGGTGCAAGCGATTCTCCTGCCTCAGCCTCCCAAGTAGCTGGGAATACAGGTGTGTGCCACCACGCCCAGCTAATTTTTATTTTTTTAAAGTAGAGACGGGGTTTCACCATATTGTTCAGGCTGGTCTCAAACTCCTGACCTCAAGTGAGCCATTGTGCCCAGCCTCTTAGGCCACACTTTGAACAGCACTACTCTACGGGAGTCTTCTGGCTATTGAATTGGTATATAAACAGGGAAGGGGAGGTTCATGGTGTAGGTAGACATGAAAAAATAGAGAAGGATTTGGAGAGCTAAAGAAGAATCTAGAATCTTGAGTCTCTGCTAAACTTTTGGGTAAACTGTAATCTACGTATATTGACTTGTGTTTATGCTTTAGCACTAAACAGGATGCAAAAGTTTAGAATTGGCACACAAACAACAGAGGGAAGGAGCATGCTGAGAGCAGTTGCCTCCAGTGTAATACAGATTGATAAAACTGCTTTTCAGAAATAGCCGTCAGCTTCCTTATCAAAACGTTTTCTGGGCACCATTGGGGTTCTTTGTTAACTCTGTCTAGAATAGAAATATAGTGAAAGATTAGCAACATTTTAGTAAAATGCTCTTAAAACTGGTAATTAAAGTTGTCGGGACAGGTTGTAGGGAGTAACAGCCAGTGTTTCACTAGTCATAGGGCTGCCTTTTTTTTTTTTTGGAGACAAGGTCTCACTCTGCCACCCAGGCTAGAGCGCAGTGGCCCCATCTCAGCTCACTGCAACCTCTGCCCCCCCAGGTTCAAGCGATTCTCATGCCTTAGCCTCCCAGGTAGCTGGGATTACAGGTGCACGCCACCACACCCAGCTAATTGTTTTGTATTTTTTGGTAGAGATGGAGTTTCACCATGTTGGTCTCAAACTCCTGACCTCAAGTAATCCACCTACCTCGGCCTCCCGCAGTTCTAGGATTACAGGCGTGAGCCACCATGCCCGACCATAGGGCTTTTTTCATCATGGTAGCTGGTTTCTGTTGCAACATTAGGATTAAGCATTTAAAAGCAGTCACATTATGTTTTTGCCATGACCTGCCACATGTTTTAAATTAATAGATTACAGGAAAACCAGTAAGATGATGCTGTCTAAAACACTCAAAAGAAAATAGGCCAGGTGTGGTAGCTCATGCCTATAACCCCAGCACTTTGGGAAAATGAAGTGGGAGAGTTATTTGAGCGCGGGAGTTTCAGACCAGCCCTTGCAACATAGTGAAACCCTCTCTCTACAGAAAAAGTTAAAAACTAGCCAGGCGTGGTGGCGCACACCCGTAGTTCCGTCTACTGGGATTGCTGAGGTAGGAGTATCGCTTGAGCCTGGGAGGTCGAGGCTGCAGTTAGCTGTGGTCATGCCACTGTACTCCAACCTGGGTAACAGAGCGAGACCTTGTCTTTAAAAGAAAATGGCCTACTGATCCTGTGGCAATCAAATAATCTCTAGGAGATAATAGTTGCTCTTAAATTTGGGTGCTGTTTTTGTGCATAAGCACTCATTTTATCAGTGCTAATTGGTTAAATGGGAACTGTTGAAACTTAAGAAATTTCCCCTTCGCACATTTATGCTTACTTTGACCAGAATACTATACAGGTGTGGTTACAGAATGAATAGGAAATAAATAGTTTCTGCCTGCAAGGAGCTGCAGTGTAATTGGGAAGAGGTGGATACAGCCCAATTATGTTCAAAGTTGTTAAGCTAGTTTTAATGCTAAAATTTCCACAACGAAGGTGGAAATTTAGTACTGTTGGAGTCCTAGGATTGTAGCTAATCAGTTAACCTGGAAGAATTGGGGAGCCTTCACACGATGTAGGGTCAGGAATTGGTTTATATGCCATTTGTCTACAGCTTTTGAATTTAGATAGTGCTAGAGTCATCAAAGTGATGTGAGAATAACCCCTGTAAGTATTGAATTATAAAGATTCAAGGCTGGGTGTGATGGCTCAGGCCTGTAATGCCAGCACTTGGGAGGTCAGGGCAGGTGGATCACTGAAATCAGAAGTTCAAGACCAGCCTGGCCAACATGCCAAAACCCAGCTCTACTAAAAATACAAAAATTAACCAAGGCATAGTGGCTTATGCCTGTAATCCCAGCTACTCAGGAGGGCTGGAGGCATGCAGAACAC